TTTAAAATAAATAAATAAATAAATAAATAAATTTTATGAAAGATATATGTTCTGTGCAAGGAGAAAACCCAGCCCTTTTGATGTAAAACTTAACTGAGACTTTCCTTCACTTTTTCCAATCTCTGATTTCTACTTCTTAATTCATTAGCTGTTCCATCTATACTTTATTATAATTTCTTTTACAGCACTCATCCTTGAATATATCTTTCTGTGACTTCTCTGTCACCATTTTCTTTTCTATAAGCTCTTATTCCATTCCATCTGTATTCAACTATTTCTTCCTACACTTCACTTCTTTCGAGATAAATACTGATCTTCTCCTTAAGGCTGTCTGATTTTGACTTTGAATTGCTAGTTTCTTATTCGATAAAGTACACTTTTTTGTTGTTTTATTTTCATGAAAAGTAAAGAAGCTGTGTCTGGGACGTTCTTGACATGGTAAAATGCTGTACCTTTGCTGCATACTGTTCCAAAGCACTGATGGTGTCGGGGTCAATCGTGGCATCCCCAGTGTGCAGACCTGCCACCGTCCCATCAGCCTGAATTGCCAAGATGGTGTCAGACTGCGGGACCTGCACCGCATGATGGATGTACGCGGTGGTGCCATCTTCCAGCTGCACCGCCTGCAATGCGCTCTGGTCATAACTGTCTGGGGGAGGGGAAGAGAAGGGTATGAAATTAAAGGCAGTCTGACAGAGTTACAGGTTGAAAGGAAGAAGGGAAGGAACTTCGGCTGAGTGGGTCCATGGGCCTTGCAGGTATGATTTCTTTCAATCCTCACAACGATTCTGTGAGGTAGGTATATTTACCACCCTCACTCTACAGAAGGGAAACTGAGGTTTGGGGGAAGTAAAGTCACTTTCCTTAGGAACCAGAAAATTGAGAAAACTAACAATTAACAGTCAAAATCAGTATGTGGAGGAACCAGGATCTAAACTCACGTCAGGGTGACTCCAAAGTCCATGGGCTTTTTTTCCTTCTAAATAAGCATACCAAGATATAGACAGCATTGTGAAATAATAAATCTAGCCAATCACAATGAACCTGTGATTAAGTCCCACTGCTAAAGAAGAATATGCAGAGTTTACTTTTTCTCAACTTTAATTAAACAAATTTACTTACAAATTTAAGTATTCTAAATTTTAAAAGATTTCCCTTTCCTATGTGACAAATATTGTGCTTTACATATGTTTGCACATTCTGTCCTCATAACTACCCTATGATGTGGATACTTATTGTAATACTCACTTTACATAGGATGAAACTGAAGCACAGGGAGGTTAAATAATTTGAACAAGGTCACATAGCTAAAAGACAGCAGGCCCGGATTTGAATCCAGATAGTCTGGCTGCAGAGCTATGCTCATTACTCCTATGCTTTCCACCTCAAGTCCCTGGGCCTCCCTACACGAAGTTAATAAGCATTAACATTTTTGCCACATTTGCTTCAAATAAATTTTAAATTTTTATTTCGTTTTGAAGACCAACACAATAGGCAAAGGATCTTGCTTAAAAATGATATTCAGGGGGCGCCTGGGTGGCTCAGTCAGTTGAGCGTCTGCCTTCAGCTCGGGTCATGATCCCAGGGTCCTGGGATCGAGCCCCATGTCAGGCTCCCTGCTCAGCTCAGAGCCTGCTTCTCCCTCTCCCCACTGCTTGTACTCTCTCTCGCCATCTCTCTCACTCAAATAGATAAATAAAATCTTTTAAAAAATTATATTTAAGAGGAAAAAAATCAACAACTTAACTTTCAAAGGTTTAATTTCCATATTCGAATAGTAGCCTCTATTTGAAGTCTTCCAGGGACCAGCTGTTTGCTATTCCAACCTGTTACTGGACAGCTCAAATGATTAGAATGTTTTCTCTTAGACTGTGCCCAAATCTGCCATCTTGTATTTCAGAGAACAAGTACAAATCTTCTTTTACGTGACAGCACTTCAGCAAACACAGGCAGGTCTTATTTTTCCCACACCCCCACTTCTCCCTTATTCCTATTTCCAAAGTTAGTTTACCTTTGGAGGTATGGTGAATAAACGCTGTAGTTCCATCTTCTAGCTGCACTGCTTGGCCATCCTCTAAACGCAAACTGTCCCCTGCTCAAGAACAATGCTTACATTTAGATCCCATGTTTTCGAACAATCTGATAACTTAGCAATAAGAGTCAATAAACCATTAAACACACTATAAAAACCTACACGTGTTTTATGAGTCCTTGAACATTAAAGTATTTTCAGTAAAGCTGCTTTAAGCAAGTGCTTAGCAAAAACATAGTAGAATACTTGTTTTAGGAATATATACTAGGGAATAAGGAGAGTTGAAAGAAGGGGGGTAAAAAAGGAAGAAAATGAGAGACATGTAGGAGTTAGCTCAAGTGATAGAAATATTCACGTAGGATATCTCTAGAGTGTAGTCCAGTAACTTCTTTTCCATTATCTTTGAGACAAAGTCTCAGTGAAGTCCCAATGGTCTTTAGATCCTCTCTTTGACACCTACTGATCTCCCCTTTCAAAAGGAAGACTAGAGACCCCAAACAAGTTTACACAGTAAGAGGTAAGCTGGAGGCAGCAAATACTGAAGTCTGAGAATCGGGAGGGTAAGTAAGTGTCAAATACTTACTACTTTTAGGTATGGGTACATGTTGAACATAGGCAGCAGAACCATCCTCCAATTGAATGACCTGGCCATCTATGAGTTTTCCATCTGGAACAAAAGATTTAAGCCAATAAATAAGCACAAGCAAACATTTTAAACTTTATACAATTTCAAAATGGTATCAACTATAAAAACATACACTACTTAAGATCATGTTCATCTTGATTCTTCCCTCAATGTTCTGAGGCAATTCAAAAACACATCCAGTGATCCTACAGAAAGCAGAAAATCCTCCCTCAGCCATTCTTCCTCCCCTCTAATTTTCAATTAAATAAGTTTAAGAGGAAGAGTGGCTCATCACAGCAAGCTATGTGCGCTAAATCTATTTACCTTTCAGAGCCACTTAGGTACAGTGACCCTGACTACAGGGAAGCTGAAACTGGGAAGACTGACAGATACGTCAGTGTATATGAGGCCAGATGTCATTGTCATTTCTAGGTGCTAGAAGTCCACCGACTATGTATACATGTGCTCAGTAGGTTCCCATAAAAACAAGAACTGAGCTGTTTCTCTGAGCAAAGTAAACACTGATTTACAGATAATGTTATATAAGCAAAACCAAACGTCTATACCTCCATGCATGTTTTGTAAAAACATTAAATAATAACTTGAACTAAAAAAGCAAGAAGGGTCTTACTAGAAAGAGGTTGGCAACACTCCCCCCACTTCCCCACTAATTTTGACACCCCAGAGTATATTCCAAATATCTCAAAGGGTGTCCCTAAATTATCAAAACAAATTTAAATTAACCTGAAACTATTGAAAATTACCATATGCAATACAGCATCTTTAGAATGGGCTGGGAAGGGCTGGAGTTGCTAGGTGCTCCAACTCTGAGGTTATGAATTGCCGGTATTAACCCATGGGCTGTGTAAGTGGCACGTACCTTTAGAATTGTGTTGTATATAAGCGGTAGAACCATCTGCAAGTGTTACTGCTTGCAAGCTTACACCTTCCATATTTTCTAAATTGTCACCATCTATTATAAAAAAAGTTATTTTCTTTAGATAACTATCACACACACATGCTGTCTAAATTAAGTTTTTTAAATGAAAATTAGGCATAAGGCAGACTGCTTAACTTAAGACTCAAATGGGAGTTCTAGCATTTACAAAAAATATCTCCCTGTCCTCCTGCACCCAGTGTCCACAGCAAGGGAACCCACATGATCCCCTCAAATAAATACTGCTCACCTGCCACTGTTACTGCCTCTGTCAGGCACAGGGTAACGTGTTGAGCCTCCATTCCTCCTCCAGGAAACTCTGTCATTCCCTGAGAATCTCGATTTATTTGGGCTAACAACATTTTCTACCTTGAAGAAAAATATAGGCACTTGAGAACAAGGAACAATGCAAATAAAATAAAAGCTACAAAGAATATTCATGAACCACAGAAATTTGCTACAAAAATAAACAGTGTTTGAAATAAGCTGAAATTTCACTCAATATGCGGGGTAAGAGTATTAACCCAAAGTCCAAAGCACGCTTTCCATAATTCATCAGTAAACTATTGAGCACACTGACAACTCTTGCCTATCAGTTCTGTCCCATGTCCTAAAGCTTCCACTTCATTAGAGTTCTTTGGGTTTAACACGGTGGATTCCCACTTACTTCCACAATCCTGTTGCCTCGATCTGCAGAGGGCCGTCTTGAGTCTCACTTCTCACTCTGCCAGCCCTGCCCTGATTCAAGCCCCTGCCACCTCTTGCCCACATGACTGCCATATAGCATCCTAACGGGTCTCCCTGCTGCCCCTGTGACCGCCCCACAGTCTCCTCTCAACACAACAGGCACTGTGCCCTTGAGAAGGGAAAAGTTAGATCAAAACCTTCTGATAACTTATCAGAGTAAAGCCAAAAGTCTTTACCCTGGCCTCTGAGGCCGATGATCTTGCCCCTCACTTCCTACTGCTCTCTATCTCATTCATTTTGTTTCAGCCACATTTGTGTCCTCCTTTGCTCAAACACACTGGGTGATGTAGCCTCAGGACCTTTACAGTTGATGTTCCTTCTGCCTGAAACATGCTTTGCAGTCTCTTCACTGTTATTCCCTCATTTTCTTCATGTCTTAATGTTGTTACCCCAATGAGAGCGTCTTTGTTCACTTCATTTCAAATTGCACCTCCCACCTCCCAACCATGATATACCCTATCCCTTTTCCCTCCTTTATTATATTTCTGCATAGCACTTATGATTTGACATATTATGTGTATTTACTTAGTTTGTTTCTGTTTGTTTGTTTTAGAGGGAGAAGGGGAGGGGCGGCAAGGGGCAGAGGGAGGAGAGAACCTTAAGCAAGCTCCACACCCAGTGCAGAGGCCAATACGGGGCTCAATCTCATGACCCTGAGATCATGACCTGAGCCAAAATCAAGAGTCGATGCTTAACTGACTAAGACACCCAGGCGCCCCTATTTAGTTTCTTATCTATTTTTCCCTCCACTAGAATGCACTGGGATTTTTATCTGCTTGCTCACTGCTGACTCACATGTCTAAAAGGTACTAGACACATAACAGACACACAACAGGTGCTAAATAAATGTATGAATGGCTCTTTTGCCAGTCACCACCACAACCGCCTTCCTCTCTTTTCCTACTTCCAGGTCCCATTATCTCTGGAGGCCTTGAGTTGCTTCACACAGGAGTTGGGATAACTTAGCTGCCTTGAGCCAAGGAATTGGACCAGAGGATCTCTTGAGGACTTTCCAGGTCTAAAGATCTGATTTTAGTGTCAATATTTAAAACAACAATGTGCAGATAGTAATAATTTGCAATTGTATTTATGACTACTTGAAGATTTTTATTTTAGAAACACTAAACTGTACCCTTTGGATTAAAGCCAGGAAAGTATCACCACGGTGATAAAAGTCAATCAAGGGCTGACTTTTCAGGGAGTCCTGAAAGATTCACATCCACAACTGTTCATAGAGCAGACTGAAACTTCAACACTTCCTTGCTACCTCTAAGGGTTAACAGAGAAGCCTCAAAGTAACACTAGTATTCTGCTGTTAAGACGCCTGATGAGAATAGGATTGGGAGAGGTTAATTTTCAGAACAAGTTCTATCACTCTGTAACGGAAACAAATTAAGATAAGGAAATGGAAGGGAAACACCTATAAAGATGTAGTAAGCATTGTAATTTCTGCGGTATTCTAGGAGATGAATTTTTTAAAAGGCAGATTACAAGGTAATTTGGGTCATGATGTTAAGAAATGTCTTAAGGTTTGTCATTTTTTCTTTTTTTTTTTTTTTAGATTTTATTTATTGGGGCGCCTGGGTGGCTCAGTCGTTAAGTGTCTGCCTTCAGCTCAGGTCATGGTGGCAGGGTCCTGGGATCGAGCCCCGCATCAGGCTCCCTGCTCCACGGGAAGCCTGTTCTCCCTCTCCCACTCCCCCTGCTTGTGTTCCCTCTCTCACTGTGTTTCTCTCTG